CTCCTTTGTGGTTTTTCGGGTTAAAAAGCCAGAGCTAACCTGGCTCGGGGCTCTCTGTTCCTGCGAGTTCAGTGAGCCCCATGCATGCTTGGTGAATAAAAATCCCCTTGCTTTTTGCATGAGAGAGCGTCTCTTGGAGTCTTCCTTCACGCGGCGAGTGTCACGACCCTTACACTAGTTAGATACCAAAGTTTATTCTCTCTTTGTACTTCACCATTCCCAGTAGTTTTTGTGTTTATACTCATAATTACTACCCTTCTGAGTTCCACGTGAGTATTTTACCTAGGCAGAGATGGGAAAGAGCAAAAGAGCTGGAACTGGTATTGTCCTCATGGGCCTGTCCCTAGGACCTGCTTCATTCAATTAGCCCTACTTCCTAATAAGCCCACTGAATCATAAAGTAATCAGTGTCTTAATCCCTTAAGGATGTTAGACACCCTCATGATCCAATCACTTTCCACAAGCCAATCAGCTGGCAAACAACTCCAGCATATGGTCTTTAGGGTGTATTCCAGGTCCAACCCATGAAATGTTTTATATTTCATTCTCTAGGAGAATATCATAAAAAATTTTTGGAAAATACAAAGTTTTAATTGGGAACATTACCCTTTCTTATATTAAGAAATAAGCAACAAGAAGAACATGACATACTAATCCACAGCAATAATATGTTAACTAGCAATTTTGGTAAAATTATTTTCAGAATAAGTAAATAAATTGAAAGTTAACATTAAATATAATGAATAGACATACAAATTGGATGTGTCATCCCAATTCTTTGTTTCTATACTTTTTAGAAACACAAAAACATATGTTCATTTTTCTGAAATAAACTTTTGAATCAATCCATGATTGTATTTGATATTGTTATATCTTATCCTTCCTCAATGGTAGGGAAATGTAACACATACATTGATACCATAAGCAAACAATTTTTGACTGTATCAGGGTATATCATCTGCACCATTTTCACATGAAACAAATAATTATCAAAATTATAGACATGAGCCCAAAAGTAGAAAGGGTAGGTGAGCTAAGGAGTCAGTTTATTGATTTTTTGTAATGAACCTGACATTTCAAAAGTCTGACCTGTGTCCTTATTCGAGTGGTAACATATTTCAATTGGGTTCTTTATTATAAAATTTAGTGGCAGTGATAAAATTTCCAAATAGCATGATTACTATGCAGGGAAATCCTCAAAATTCCAATCATAAGTAATTTCTTTTTCAGATATTTTCTCAAAGCAAATTAAAATTTGGATTCCCCAAAGACTGGGGCAGTTATGGTTTAACTTCATCCACATCAACAAAAATTTGAGGGGGGATAATCTAATGTTTTCTATATTTCCAAGTCTTTAACTTCAAATACTTAGTTAACTAGTATTTATTTGAAGATATTTCATTCTCTACCCACCTTGTGATGTGTTTGTACACAATTCTGAGCAAAGAATGATTTGCATGTTATATTGTGGAAAAGAGAAGACTAAGAAGGAGAGACACGGAAGAGAGAGAAAGGCTTACTAATCATATTACCAACAATACTGACCTTCTTTACAGTCACCGATGAGCCTAGGTAATCCATCTCTTTTCTCAAACAACTGTGTTTTTACTGGCAATATCTCAATATTACATTGGTGACTGCAGTAACAGTTTAGGTAATGCATTAAGGAACCAACTTTGACTTCTGTCTATTTGTTGTGCACTCTTTAGTAACCTTGTTCTCTCCTTTAATAAGTCAAATCCTACCCTAGAATGCATCATGACCAACAACTGTGCCTCCTCCACAATCTCAATATCACACCTGAAGCTGAGTCTTTAATTTCAGTTTTATATGAAATCTAATGAGACTTGAATTTTACAGTATATTAACATCTCACTCTCCCTCACTGCTGTCATAGAATTTATTCTTCTCCTTACTGGAATATGTACTATGATCAGTGACAGCAGTGCACCACCAGGTGTCTTCTCTCTTTACTCATCTAGTTGTTTGTCACAATTTCACTTGAACAAATCTATCTTCCCATATGCTCTCCTCCTGTATCTGTGTAGCTGAACGTGGTGAAAGAAAAAACAAAACAAGGCTTGAGATGCAGCATGGTGGTAGAATACTTGCTTTCAGGCCATGCGTTTCATCCCAAGCATGGAAAAATAAGAAAGAGAAAAGTCAAAACAAAGCTCTAGTTATGACTCCAAACATCAAGTATGTTCTTAGTGATGCCAGGAAATTCTGTTATGGTTGTCCAGTCAACTCGGTCTTCTGTTCTTAACTCTACTCAAGTCTCTAAAAGTTCTCCTGCTCTCTGCTAACTCAGTTGATGACTTTCCTCCAATTTATAAATGAACATAAAGTAATTCAACAAAACTTCCACAAATTTTCACCTCACTTCGACTTAAGGATCAATTCCTTTACCTATATATTCTTCCTGCTATTATTATAGATGATTGTGGTATTTAATCTTGATTGTGAACTTGTTTGAATTGAGAGAAGCCTACGGGTTTAATAAAGCCCATCTCTGGATGTATCTGAGTGGGTCTGTAAGGATATTTTAGGAACAAATTGGCCTGGTGATCACGTTTACCCTGAATGTGAGTGATAGCATCCAAAAGTTTTGCAACCAGCATGGGAGAAAGCCAAAAGAAGGGAGCCAGTGAGCACACGCAAGCTCTGTTCTGCTTCAGTGCGTGCATCATTTGCTGCGGCCATGACCTGTGGACCTCAGCCTTTCTATTATCAGCCTTTGATGCAGACTCACACCAGCAAATCTCCGGGAAGCTGCAATGCTTAAAGCTTTGGCCTGGGGTTACATCCTTAGCCCCTCTTATCCAGAAATTTCCAGCTTTTGGAACTGAGCAGGTATTGTATTCTCTGATACTCCAGCATGCAGATGGCCACTGTGAACTATCCAGCCTTTGATGCTGGAAGCCAGCCTAATGAAATTACTCATAATTATTTGCATGTTTATTACTCTGTTCCTCTAGATAACCCTGACCAATGAACTAGCCATTTTTCCTTCAGTTTAGGTTTGTTTCCTCTCTGTGTGGATTCAGTTCTATCCTCCTTCCTTAATAAGGTTGTCACTATAGGAGCTCACTCTTTTTAATCCTGCATCCTACATCTCCCCCTCTATGTTGGATCAGCCCATTGACATGCACGTATTTTTTTTCCACATCTTCATAAAACAATAAAACCTTCTCAGTATCACTTTCCTTTCCAATTTTCTCCCTACCACTCTAAATTCTTTTATAGAAATATTTTTGGGAACAGTTGTTTATTCTTACTGTCTCTATTTTCTCTCATTTTCTTTGCTCATCTTCCCGCTCACCTGTATTTCTTTATGAAGCTCTCAAGTTATTTTAATAAGTAATGACCTCTACATTGCCAAATTCAGAGGTCAATATTCCATCCCTATAGTTCTGGTCCTAGAAGTAACAGTTGACCTGGACATATCCTCTTTGAAACACTTTCTTCATTTGCTCCAACTCCTTAAATTTTCCTGAATTTCCATCTATTTCTTGGACCACATATTTGTATATACATCTATTTCTGTTCTTTGGTCTCTTCTCAGGGGAAGTGTTTGTTCTCAGGGCTCAGAACATATCCTCCTCTTCTTCCTCTGTTCCTTCCCCTTATTCTTCCCCTTCCAGCTCCTCCTCTTTTTCTTCCCCTTCTTCTCTTTCCTTTTTTTTTTTTTTTGCCTGTGGTACCAGGGATGGAACTCGCTACCTTGTGCATGCCAGGCAGGTGCTTATGCCACTGAGCTATATCCCCAGCCTCCTTCTTCTCTTTCTTTTCTTCTCTTTCTCTTCCTTCTCCTTCTCCTCTTGTATTTTTCCTCAGTAATGAGAATTTAATGAGGGCTTTGTCAGTAAGCTACATCCTCAGCCCTTTTCATTTGTTAATATTAAAACAAGTCTCACTAACCTGCTAAGTTACCCTGGTTGAGCCTGAACTTGTGATTATCCTGCCTCACCCTCCAAGAGTGCTGGAATTATATGTGTGTCCAGCTTCAGATATC